ATTAGTGCTTCAGTCTCTAGGCATTTGCCTTTCACCTCCTGCCATCACTCTTGTCACCTGATTTATTTGACTTATGTTAATTACCCTCAGAAGTGTTCTGTCCTAGCATACTTGAATCTTGAATTGGCATTGAAAAGCACATTCATAAATTTTCAAGTATTTATAAAACCTTTTTTCTTGAGGTCATTACACACATGAAAAGCATTTGACAAAAGCATTCCCAAATAAGAGCACAAATGATTCTTAATTTCTTTTGACAGGAAGAGAGGCATGTTTTCTCCTGCAGTTTCACCCATGAACTCAAAATATGTGTGCTTTATTTTGTTTCTTTTCAAAACAGAGTACCACTTAAGGAGAAACTACATCCCCTACTTATTGAAGACAATAAATGACAGGCTTAGCTGTTTATAATTGGAATTAAGATCCTCAGGCTTCCATTGTTAGCCTCTCCTCCCTGAGTAGCAAGAAATGTTAATCTGATGGCCCAGAACGGAAAGAACTCCACAGATCATCTTATTAGATGCACTTTCAATGCCCATCATTGATCTTGGGGATACAAGGACTTACATGTCTGCCTCCCCTTTGTAATCTGCTTTTATCATGCTAATACCGAGTACTTGAAATCCATATAGCTTAAAAAACTAATGAAATTTGGTGTGTTTGTGTGCATATACATCACATTAAGAGTTCTATGGGGAAGAGAAAATAGTCTCTAAAAAAGAGCGAATAATCAAAAGCTTTGGAAGAGGAATTTTTATCCAAGTATTCACCCTGTTCATGTCTTAACTCTTTAGACTGTTTTTATACCTTTTTAAAAAACCATTTCATTGAATCACCATGAGATAGTTACAAGCTTTCATGTTTGGGTTACAATCACACAATGATCAAACACCCATCCCTCCACCAGTGCACATTCCCCACCACCAGTATCCCCGGTATATCCCGCCTTTCCCACCCTCTCCCTGCCTTGATGGCAGACAATATTCACCATAATATATCTCCACTTTTGGGTATTATGGTTTGCAATGCAGATACTGAGAGCTTATGATGTTTGGTCCATTATTTACTTTCAGCACACATCTCCCATCCCAACCGGTTCCTCCAGCCATCATTTTCTTAGTGATCCCCTCTCTATTCCAGCTGCCTTCTCCCCTTTGCTCATGAGGCTGGCTTCCAGCTATGGGGCAATCTTCCTGTCCCGTGTATCTACTATCCTTAGGTGATCCCTTGACCAACTATGGGAACACCATCAAATGTCAGAAAGGGGTTGTGATTTTATAATGATAGGCAATAATTAGAGGTACTAGGTCCTATCTTAATTTAAGGTGTCAATTCCTATCATCTTAGAATTATCACCTATTTATACTCCTTGATCCAAACTGATAAAACCACAATATTAAACCACAATATAGCTTTCTTGCCTTGATATAATTGTTGCTATCTAGTGCATTAACAGATCTTAAAATGCATGGTAGAAGTTCCACATTGAGAGCCAAATATCTGTGGAAAACAAGTACTGCATTGTGAAATACAGCAATTTCTTAATTCTCATTAGTTTGCAAGTCTATAACCATGTATTAAATCTTCAAGTTCTTCCTTTTAATTGAACTAAAAAAGACATTTAAAAAATATTTCCATCTTATGATTTTAATAGTATTAAGTTGAAATTAAAATTAGAATATGGGAATACTAAACATTTAAAATTATCGAGGTAATTTTTCATTATAATATTGAGCACATATAATATTTCTTTTTAATCTTTGTTTATTATTGAGTCACCATGAGATACAGAGTTACAAAGCGGATCAAGGTCAGGTTTCAGATACAATATTCCAACAGCAACCCTCCAACACATACACTTCTTTACTCTATCTCTTATCTCAAATGAAAAATAAAAAAGAAATTTTTACAGCTTTTAGTTGTAATCTTTTCTCTTAACAAGGTTAATAGTGCTGAAATCTTGTGGACATGCGGACATGACGTTTGTGTTCTTTGTTCACTGGAGCAAAAGTGTTTTCAGGCAAAGCTGATTCCTCAATGGAGAGAATTTAAAAATATACATTTTATTACCTTTCTTCTTCTTTTATGGATTATTTTTATGGTGGCATAAAAATTTAATGTGTTATGTTTGATGGGTAATAGTGACAGTACTCACCCTGTCCTCTTTTTTTTTTTTCCACAAATTCCCCCAAAATGGTCTTATGTGTCTCAGATTATTTTAGTTTTGCACACCAGCACCACCTTGTGGACAGTTTTTAAATACCCTTTTTACAATAAAAAGCCCTTTCCAGTTCAAATCCAATTATGACATATCTTAATAGCTATTTAATTATAATAGTATTTAATAGTAAAGATAATTGTAAACAAATCATGTAAAAATTTTATCTCCTGAAAATTTCTCAAGGCAAATACCAATGTTTTCAAGCTTCATGAGTCTATCTAGATCTGAATAGAATAGTATACATGTACAATTTTGCAATTTCATAATTTGTATCCTCTTAATAAATTTTCCAACACCATTTCCACCATAATGTCAACTTCTCTCCACCAATTTCTCACTTCCTAGGCTGTTTCAAGTTTAGCTATTGTAATTTGGATCTAATGCTTTCTGTTTTGTTGGTTCTGGGGGTTAGTTAAATAGATAACCTGCACCTCTATACCTCCAAAGTGTTTGAGCCCCTGCCCCTTGCCCCTAATGCCCCATGTCTACCTCTTCTTATGTCTTCCTATAGTTTTTTCCTTTCCTGTCCTCAGTTCTGTAATCTAGGTATCACTTAATCACTTATCACTTAATCCCCGTTATTCATCGATTTACTCGAGCGGGTGCCAGTAACATCTCCATTCATCCCGCTTGTGTGCTAGCGTAGCCCAATGGTATCTGTTCGTTCTAGGAACATGCAGAGCCTCAAACCGATCATTCAGGGTCTTAACGAAGAAGTTTGACCATCTTGTAGGTGGGCGTCCACGTGATCTTTTGATGTCCCGTGGAATCCAATCAGCAATGGCTGTAGTCCAGCGGTTGTCTGTAAACCTCATTACGTGTCCAGCCCATCTGATTATTGATGTCTTGGCAAATGAGACAGCATCCCTGATTCTTGAGCGTTGACGAAGATCAGAACTCCGGATTCTATCTCTCATTTGAGTGAATCGTGATATTCCAAGCATAGCTCTTTCGATTCCTCTTTGAGAGACCCGAATAGCGTTCTCATCCTGTTTTTGTAGGGTCCAGGTCTCTGAGGCATATATTAATGCAGGAAGAACAGTGGAATCAAAGAGATATGCTCGTAGCTGGAGGTTCTTTGTCCTTTTAGTTATTTCTTCAACGTTCTTGAAGGCATTCCAAGCCGCTCTCTTCCTCCTGCGCAACTCAGGTGCCAGGTCATTCATTATGTTGCTTTCTCGACGTAGGTATATATAACTGTTGCATTCGGAGATGGTGGTTCCGTTGAGAGCGAATGGAGCGTCAGGAACAAGGCTGTTTCTCATAAACATAGTCTTCTTAAGATTCAGCTGTAGTCCGACCTTTCCACATTCACGGTTAAAGTCGTTCAGCATTTGTGCCGCTTGGCTGATGTTTGTTGTTATTAGAACGATGTCATCAGCAAAGCGGAGGTGGTGTAGTTGCCGACCATCTATCTTCACTCCCATGCTTTCCCATTCCAGTCGTCGCATGATGTTCTCGAGGGTGGCACTGAAGAGTTTTGGTGAAATGGTATCACCCTGCCGAACCCCTCTCTTGATATGGATGATTACTTCTTTGTAGAATGGTGAGATCTTGGTAGTGAATCCGCAGTAGAGCTCACGAAGGATCCTGATGTATTGAGTTTGTACGCCCTGATTGGCTAGGGCTTCCATGACTGCTTCCGTCTCAACAGAATCAAAGGCCTTCTTTAAATCAATGAACGTTAGACAGAGCGGCATCTTGAATTCCCGAGAAACCTCAATGAGCTTAGTAATCGTGTGGATATTGTCGATGGTACTGAATCCTTTTAGGAATCCGGCATGTTCACATGGTTGTCCTTCATCTAGTGTTCTGCTAATCTAGGTATCCCCTCTTTGAAACCTTGCATTCCCTTGTCCTGATATTTTAATTATCACAGAAGAGTGAGATTCTCGAGGGTTTGTCTTTCTTTTAATTCAGTTTACCAAACATTATATTCTTAAATTCCAACCAAGTTGCAGTGAATTGCGTTTCATCCTTCTTGCAGCTTCGTTATATTCCATTATATATGTATATGCATACACATATGCATATGAATATGTATGTATATGATGTATACATCACACCATAATTATTCACCTATCCATTATTGGACACCTATATTAAGTCCTATATTAGCTATTGTGTGAAGCAATAAAATGAATAATGGTGTTCATATGTCCCTTTGAATGATGTTTTTTAATAGTTTCTAAGTTTATTATTAAAGATTAATTTAACAAGTATTCACGCTTAAAAATAGATTTATTTCAACGAAGCTTTGAAATTTTAGATATTTAATCTTTGTTTAGTCTTATATTTCTCTAAAATATCATCTATATGGACACTGGAGGATAGAATACACTTTCAGTTTCTACTGTGTTCGTTTAGAATATATTGATAATCTATTTCCTGGCAAAATTTGGTGTTTAAATTTGAATCATGTGACATTCTGAGGTTTGGCAGATAATTTATAGGAGTGGCTAATAATTGAACAGAAAATGTGTTCTAGGCTCATGCTTTTTGTATATGCCATTTAAGATAAAAGTATAATAGATTACCTTCCTTAAGACATGTATCAATACAATTTTATTAAAAAAGAGATTCTGGTTAGAACTCTGAAAGAGGAGAGCTTAAAAGAAAGTATGTCATCAAGAATTAAGTGCCTTTGTGGTGAGAAAAAGAAAATGTGATAATTTTTATGAGATATTAAATAAATTGCTTTAAAAATCATATGTACTGAACTGAGGTTATTTGCTGTTTCAGGAAAACACTAAAAATTCTTTTTTCTTTTTTTCTAAAGGTCTTGGATTGTACACTGTAAATTCAATATATGGAGATACCATTATCTTGCCTTGCCGACTAGATGTACCTCAGAATCTCATGTTTGGCAAGTGGAAATATGTAAGTGTGACCTACCATAGATTTGTTTGATTGCCTCAAGGTTTGAAGTAAAGTTTCTTATGTGAATGAATGTAAATTTTATATGAACATATGGCAGTATCCAACTGTGGTCACAAATGTTCGAAGGTAAAATTAATGGATTAAATGTCAAAAGAATAATTTTACAAGGAAAATACTACATTAAAATAGTATCAAGAAATATAGATGTATATACCTTATATACCTTACCTTATCATATTAGTTTGAAAGATTCGACCTGAAGTGATTGGGTCAGTGGAGCATCCAGAATTTCAGAATAAAATCAGGGAAATTTAGAACAGAACTCAGTGAATGCAGACAGCCTTTGCCTCATGTGTTCCAGTAGCCAGAATGCCCAAATATTCATTAGAATTTGTGAACTTTAGAAATCTATTCCTTAGATTTAGTCCCAGGACCTTTTTTTTAATGTGGTAGGTTCTACCTATATTATACATATTATATTATTGGTTCTATCAGTTTCTCAAAGATCATAGCAAAAATTACATCTTTACGTTACAAGTGGATCTGAATCTGGAGAGTATCTCCTGGTAGTGGCTGTGAAATAGCTAGATAACTGTCACTGGTAAATGTCTCAATTTAATTACCAAAACCAATGAATAGTGTCTGTTGACATATTTTCCTGTTCTGGATCACAGGAAACTTGTGATAGTTTGCAAACTTAAGTTATTTATCTATAATTGAAACTAATGACAAAATTTCCCTAATTCCTTTAAATATTTTTAAAATATATATTTGAATAGGAAAAGGACAGTATAAAATCATTTTGGAAAACTTCTTTGTTGTAAGCACTGTAGCACTGTCCTCCCGTTGTTCATCGATTTGCTCGAGCAGGCACCAGTAACATCTCACAACAAATTGTGAGACTTGTTGTTACTGTTTTTGGCATATTGAATATGTCACGGGTAGCTTGCCGGACTCTCCAAGAGGGGCAGAGAAATCAAACCCAGGTCAGCCGTGTGCAAGGCAGACGCCCTACCCGCTGTGCTATCGCTCCAGCCCTTTGTTGTAAGACTTCTCAAAATTTTTACTTATTTATTTACTTATATATTATAATGACCAAAGATTCATTTCATTCATTTAATGTCCTTCCTTTTTTTTCTTAAAAATTTTTATTTGGTCACTGTGAATTACAAAGTTATTCATGATTGTTTGTCAGGTATACAAGTACTAATCCCTTCACCAGTGTCCACTTCCCTTCATCAGTTCCTCTCCCCTGCCAACCACACGTTTGCTTCAAGGAGAGGCTTTTTTTTTGGGCACTGTGTTTTACAATGTGATTACTATTTGGGATTTGGTATGCTTCCTACTGAATACCAATTCTCTTTGTTCCCATTGCCTTTGAATATTTTTTTTTTGGCTTTTGGGGTCACACTCTGCAATGCTCAGGGTTCTGCACTTAGGAATTACTCCTGGTGGTGCTCACAGGACCATATAGGATGCCAGGAGTTGAATTGGGGTTGGCCACGTACAAGACAAATGCCCTACCCACTGTACTATCATTCTGGTCCTTCCATTGCCTATGAACGTTCATTAATCATTCTACCATTGTGTTTCTTCATATGCCACGTATCAGAGTGGTAACATTCATTTCTTAGGTTTTATTTCAACTACACAACTTCTCTCTTCAAATAAATATCTGTAAGAATTGAATGTTTTCTAGACTTCACTTTGGGGAATGTGCTTAAGATTACACTACTGGGGTCATCTAACACAACTTTCAAACTGTAAGACTTTGAAATCAGATTGGCAGAATTGACCTATGGTTAACATAGGTCCCATTTTCTTATACATAAAATGAAATAATCTTCCATATTGTATTATTCCTGTTGCGTGATCTAATTTATGTTAGACTACCTAGTATTTCACAATAGTGATTGCATGAAGACGTAAGCTGCAGTGACTGCAGGGCTGCCAAGCTGTAATCAGCATGTGTGGCAGGTGTGAAGGGAGCGGTAGGAGATGAAGTAACATTACACTTCTCTGTGCTCTGTCCTATTATTCATCTTGCATTGGGTAATTTGGAACTATTTCTGGTTCCCTACAAAAACTGCAGATGTGATGATGAGGCCTGAGAGGACAGAGTCTATTAACACGCCTCAAAATCCAAAGGTCTTGCTGACTACTAGGTAATTCACATGCTGAGTCAAATGTATTGTCAAAATGTTGTCAGAGAATATACATCGTCAAAAACTTTTGTGATCACAGGCATTTTGGTCTATAACCAGGGAAAATATTTTTTACTGGATGGTAGCCGTGGAACAGTAATGGTAGTTTTGAAATTATTAATTCAACAGGGGCTGGAGCAATAGCACAGCTGGTAGGGTGTTTGCCTTGCACGAGGCTGACCCGGGTTCAATTCCCAGCATCGCTTGTGGTCCCCCGAGCACCGCCAGGAGTAATTCCTGAGTGCAGAGCCAGGAGTAACCCCTGTGCATCGCCAGGTGTGACCCAAAAATCTAAACAAAATAAAATAAAAAAGAAATTATTAATCAAACAAAAACCTTGAATAGTAAACTGATGCAATTTATTATGCAATGTACCATGTGCATAAAAATATTAATGGTTTATAATAGACATGTTCTAACTTAATCCAACAGACAAATGAATGGTTTAGAATAATTCAAATGATGCAAATGTTCTCCCTTTTGAAATGCTAATCTGCATGTAAACACACACCTTGCTCCTGTGTACCCCCTATACCCTGCTTCCTTCACCAGCATTTGCCTTGGTGCTTGGTTAGAAGAGGCCTCTATTCCCCATCTTCAGTGAACTCAAAGAAATCGAGCTGCTGAGCTCTGGTCTTGAGTCTACTCTTGCTGCAAACTCAGAAAAGTTGTGTTACCAACCTGTTTCCCTGCTCTAACCCATAAATGAGTTAATATTATAATTATCTATTGCATTGTTATAATCATTAATTAATGCATGGAAATCCCCCAAAATATAACAGGTATTTTACTGAGTGATCAAAGTTAAATAACTATTATTTACTGCGTAAATTAATGTGAAAATTTAAGGTACTAGTTTAACATTTCTCTTAATGAAGGAATGATTTAAGGCAAGGATTGATATTATAAGCCTATGACAAAACAAAAAACTTAGGATAATATTCATGTACTTATGTACTCAGCCATCTAAAACTTTGTTATTTGATAGTTTATTATTATATTTCAAATAAATCATCACTATCACTGTCACTGTCCTCCCATTGTTCATTGATTTGCTCCAGCGGGCTCAGTAACGTATCCATTGTGACAATTGTTACTGTGTTTGGCATAACGATACTCTCTGGAGCTTGCTGGGTTCTTGGAGAGGGGCGGAGGAATCGAACTTGGGTTGGCTATGTTGGCCGCTTGCAAGGCAAATGCCCTACCCGCTGTGCTATCTCTCCAGCCCAGCCGAAATCACTGTCCTTCCGTTGTTCATTGATTTGCTCCAGCGGGCACCAGTAATGTCTCTATTGTGAGATTTGTTTTTACTGTTTTTGACATATCGAATATGCCATGGGGAGCTTGCCAGACTCTGCCGTGCATATATATAGATATAGATATATGTATATATATATATACACATAACACTTTCTTATTTTTCTTCTTCTTTTAAATGTGGGTGGTTATTCCTGGCTGTCCTCAGGTCTACTTCTGACTGGGTGTTTGGGGCCGACTCCTGGTATGCTTGGGTAACCATGCAGTGTAAAGGATTGAAGCTGCATGCAAAGTATTGTGTTCCCAGCCTTCGCCCCCTTTTTTCACAGTGGTATTTATGGTTTCTATTTAGAGATTAATCAAATTAGACCCAAATTCCCAAGACACTCCAAAGCTGTCCTTATGTTATTTCCAATCCATCCCTTCATCTTCCCTCATACCCTCCGCTCATCTCTTGTTTAGTATTCTGAATTTTGTAATCTAGGGTAAACTAAAACTTTGGACTCCAATACTGGTGTAAGTAATTGATTTAGTCAGCTTGAGCTGGTATAACAAATACCATGAACTGTTTAAACCACAGAACTTTTTTTTCCTCAGAGATCTGGAGACTGAGAATTCCGAAATCAGGATGCTGGAAAGCATGCTTCCTAGTTTGCATATAGCTGCCCTTTTGCTGTAATGCCACCTAACTCGTGTGTGTGTGTGTGTGTGTGTGTGTGTGTGTCTGTGTCTGTGTCTGTGTCTGTGTCTGTGTGTGTAAATGCGTGCACATGTGCTCTCAGACACTTTCTAGATGTGTATTAATCCCATAAAAATGTCAATCACCATGCCTATCTAAATTTAAGCACTTCTGAACTCACCCTGGGTGTTAGCTTTCTATATAAATTTTGGGGGATACAGATGTGGTCCATTATAGTAACAAATACTTGACTTTTTAAAATACAGCTCCCCATTGTATCTTGAAATTTTCTACTAACATGTTTATGATTATTTTCTCTGTGAACTTATGAGGTAGTTAGAAGTGAATTTGGACCCTATTTTAGACTAAATTGGTTTTTGAGGGGCTGAGAAATAGTTACAGTAGGTATTTCATTTACTTTGCATCAGCTGACCCAGATTTGATCCTAAGAATTGCATATGACATCTTTCGCACTGTCAGTAATAACCTCTGAGTGCAGAACAATGAGCAAGCCCCCAAGAACAGCCAGGTGTGTCTAAAATCAGACAAAAGATATAAAATTAAATTAAACAAATAATTAGCTTATTATTATTTTAATAATAATAATTAGCTTGGGGCTGGAGCGATAGCACAGCGGTAGGGCATTTGCCTTGCATTTAGCCAACATGGCCGACCCGAGTTCGATTCCTCCGCCCCTCTCAGAGAGCCCAGCAAGCTACTGAGAGTATCTCGCCCGCACGGCAGAGCCTGGCAAGCTTCCCATGACGTATTCGATATGCCAAACACAGTAACAACAAAGTCTCCAATGGAGACGTTACTGGGCCCCCTCGAGTAAATCGATGATCAACGGGAGGGCCTTTACTTTACTTTTACTTAAATAATTAGCTTATTGGATAGAAGAACTTTTATGGAGGAAGAGAAAGAAATAAATTATATGTCTCACTTCTATTGATACAGATATAGATGCCAGATTACATTTTATTTTAATAGTAAATTTTTATATGTAAAGCCTTTGAGCTAGGTTTTATGACTCAGAGAGCAAAATTATGCACAGTAATGATTAATTTGATTTCTGTTGCTTAATGGACACGATTGTTTCACAAGGACAAATACTATTGCTCCATGAAGACTCATTAAACTTTGTTATGTGTAAAGGTCAGTTATGTCAGTTTGGGCTAAAATCGAAAGATATAGACATTCACATGCATGTGAGTTAAAGTAATGATTATAAAAACAATTGTCCAGGATTTATAAACAAAGGGTCTGCAGTCCATGTGTATACTTACTGTACTACTTTATACATTTATATGTTTGCTTCCATTTTTTAAAAAATATTAGACAAAAGGTCAACTGCTGTCAGTTTCAAGGCAGATGCCTATTCTGTTTTCCATATGTATGAAAAGTTCCTGTACCAAGAGCTCTGGTATTTTATTTTCATACACTTTTATGGAAAATACATGTACTTTGAAATTACAGCTTTTCTTGTTATGAAGGGCAGTTTGCTGTGACCGAAGATATATGTGAGGTTCATAATTCTAAATTCTTCTTAAAACCATAATATCGATGGTATGGAGCAGATAGGAAGTACAGCCAGTAGAGCTCTTGCCTTGCATCTGACCGACCCAGGTCTGATCCCCAAAGTCCCGTGTGTCCCCCCAAGATCACCAAGAGTGATTATTAAGGGAAGATACATGATTAATCCCTGAGCACCACTGGGCATGGCCTAAAAACAAAACAAAAACATTGTTGGCAGAATACAGCCAAGAAAATTTTCTAATTTTGCATGTAATCCTGAAACATCTTGTTTTGATTTTTAGGAGAAGCCTGATGGGTCCCCAGTATTTATTGCCTTCAGATCGTCTATGAAGAAAAGTGTGCAGTATGATGATGTGCCAGAATACAAAGACAGATTGAGCCTCTCAGAAAACTACACTTTATCTATCAGTAATGCGAGGATCGGTGATGAAAAGAGATTTGTGTGCATGCTTGTAACTGAGGACAATGTGTTTGAGGCGCCTACAGTCGTGAAGGTGTTCAGTAAGTAGTCTGCAGTATAACTGCTAAGTGGGATTGATGGCTGATACTAGAAAGTGTCTTCAGAAAGAAAACTGAACTCTCTGTAGTGTCTCCGCAGCAGGCATCTCTATAAGAGGAGTTATTAGAGTTCTTCATTCTGTTCAGGCACACTGTCAGCAAGGAAAACACAAAACCTGAAATTCAAATAGGAATTGTGCTACAGGGGATGAAAAGAATATTCTCTGTTGTTTTGTTTTGTAAAAATACCCTCTGAAATGAAGTGCTACTGATGAAAACTGGCGTGTGATTTATCACTTTCACTGACATGTACAAATAAGTGTTCTGTGATATATACAGAGATGCATAATGCATGCATATAACCGCATACCTTAAGCATATATATCTGTGTATGTTAAAATGTGCCAGATAAAATTGCCATCTTGATGTACAAAAGACATAAAAACAAACATTTATAAAGAGCCAAGTTTTCTACATACATAGAAGTAATACACACACACACACGCACACACACACACACACATTCTGACCATTAGTAAAATGCTTATTGATCTACTTCTTCAAAGTGGACAGTTGGTTAAGAAATTGCCCTGTTGTAAAGAAGTTCACCACCCACTAAGTGTGCAAGTGCAATGCACCAAAGGGAAAAAGCAAAAGTGTTGGCAAAAGAGAAGACTCTAGAAGAAACTTGGAATAATTATCATAGTCATTATGGTAAAGTTACTTTGCCTAATGATAATATATAGTCAGTGTTACTGTGAAAATAGCTATGTAAATGAATGACTTGAGAAATTCTAATTATGGCATTTTATCTTTTAACGTTCAAATAAAATGTCCCACCTGTAACATTATAATATTTGAGAAACTACAAAGAGAAAAATAGGTCACAGAAGGTTGAAAGTGCCAGTCTTTTTTAACTAGGAAAGAAAATCCCACTTTCCAATGCTTCTTTTCCTCTCTGATAATTTGACAGCCTGTAGAAGTTAAAGTAAATAAAGAAGAAAGAAACTCAGGAGGCCTTCCTACCACACCAAGTAATCAGGACTTTTTTCCCTTTATCTTATAATAAATAGCCTGTATAACTAAGTAGGACTGTCCCTTAAGTATTAACATGGACTTCAAAGCTTCCATGGACTCAGGTCACAAATTCAAAGAATGCTTATACTATGAAAGGAAATCTTTGTTCTCCAGAAGGACCTGTGAAGGCATATTGCATATTTCAGTTGGTTACCTTCCAGCTTACAAGTTGCTCTCCAGAAATTACCCACGCCTCTTAATAATGTTATTAATCAAACCAAGAACCAAATGCATGCCAACCATGAAACTTCCATAAATAAATTGTTTTCTATACCTGCCAATGCCCCCTTTTCTTTCTTTTCTTTATGTTTCACTTTGTTATTATTAAAAGTCTGTGTGGTGCACTGTTTGAGGCAACTTATCGAAAGAAGCAACCAAAATCTTTATCATTGAGCTATGAGCCATGATTTTGCAAATGTAAGAAAGAGTGAAGAGTGTACCAGAATACGAAAATCACTGAAAATTATGCGTATTTGTTTATTGTTTCTTCAAAGAAATATTTTTGTTACTAAATATTTTTGTTACTAAATATTTTGTTACTAAATAACAATCCTTGGAGCGATAGCACAGCGGGTAGGGCGTTCGCCTTACAAGCGGCCAACATGGCCGACCCGAGTTCGATTCCTCCGCCCCTCTCGGAGAGCCTGGCAAGCTACCGAGAGTATTCGATATGCCAGACACAGTAACAACAAAGTCTCCAATGGAGACGTTACTGGGCCCGCTCGAGCAAATCGACGATCAACGGGAGGGCCTTTACCTTTACCTTTACCTTACTAAATTATTTCATTAAGACACTATGATTTACAAATGGATGTTCATAACAGTTTCTGGCATGCACTGTTCCAATATCAATCCCACCAACAGTTTCAACTTCCCTCCACCTGTGCTCCAGGATTGCCTTCTAAACAGTCACAAATGTCAGGTTTCAAATGTCAGGTTTCATTTTTACTGTATCACAGTTAGCATATTTTAAGATAGCAGACAAGAAAACTGGAAAAAGAAAAGGTTCATATTGTTTCATTTAGAAGAACCATTTTGACAAGTTCTCAAAATATCCTTTTGGTTAAAAATGGCATGGAGCAATCTTAGAAAAGTCAGTTTGTCTAATTCATGAAAATTTTAAGTTTCTCTGAAATACAGAGGATTTCTATGATTGTAAAAACAAACTTACACCCTGCCTACCACCAGAGCCCTTAACCCCCCTCTATTTTGAATGCTTCTCAAAACAAAGTGATTCTCAGAAACAGAATTTGCATTCCAGGCTCAGAGCCAGAGGGAATTTAAATAGACAAGCAGCACACTCTCAGAAATAGTGTTTTATACTAGAAACTGCAGGACCCTCCAAGTCCCCCAAAACTGAGTAGTACAGCTCATGATAAAGTGTTGGCAGAGCATATAGGGATTTTCAATTTTAAAAAAACTATGAATCTACTTTGGATCTCTTTTTGTGAAGCAAACAGCAGCTGTGACTGGGAGGCTTTTGTTCTATGCATGTATATATTGTAGTCACTTAAGAGTCACTGGACTCATCAATCAGTCCTCTGTTTCCTCTGTCAAATCACCTAGCAACATGCTCAGAATATTACAGAAGAGAATATGGCTAACGTGAGCTAATCCCAAATCAGCTTCCTGCAGAGTATCATCCTCACAGGCAAAATCACCCTGTTTTTATTCAAACTAGAGGCCAGGACTAAGGATTTTGTTACCTCTCTTGTAAATTTGTTGATTTTAAACTAGAGCTTAGATGCAAAATCCATGCCCTTCTAGAAGCCAAAGTCCAAGTACATCACATTGCTAAAGCAATCTTTTTCCTTTTCTTCCTTTCTTCCACTGAAAAGGATCCAAATTCACCTGTTTGCATTTAATGCACTTTTGAACTTAATGAAAGAGCTCAGAAGCAAGAGTAGATAAGATTTTAAAAGATCATAAAGATTTAAATTAGTGATAGTGCAAAATTCTTGCAGGTCAAATGGCCACCTAGATTGCTAAATGGTTTTTAGTGATATAATGAAAGAAAAAAATATCACAAAACTAGTCATCTGTACACAAGGTTTTTTAAAAATACTGGTAATTTCTGACCTTGGTCAAGGACCTTCACCAGTCTGAGGCTATGTTCCTTTCTTAACAATAAAATGAGCTCTTTGGATTTGAAGCTATTTTTTGACCGTGTCACTAGGGTTCTCTAGAAGGGTTAATCATCAGTGTTAAGGAGGGCACACGTGGTTTGCTGTATAACACTACCATTTCAATTTTTTCATGGCAATTCATTAAGAAAAAAAGGAAGGAGAGTTTCTGCCTGGGGGGGTGGGGAAGGAAAAAGAAAGGAAATCCTAGTTCAGGCCAAAGTCTAAACTTTTGTGTGCTGGTGCCTATGGAGTTAAAAGAATGAGTTGCCATGGCATAGTACTTGTGGGCCAGCTCTTTCCTTGGTGATGGCCAGTGCTGGTTGAGGCAATTATTTTAGAGCTTTTATGTGGATGTTTTCAGTGTTTTATTAGAATTGGGGCCGAAGCGATAGCACAGCGGAAATGGCATTTGCCTTGCACGTGGCCAACACTGCCGACCCGAGTTTGATTCCTCCACCCTCTCAGAGAACCCGGCAAGCTACCTAGAGTATCTGACCTGCATGGCAAAGCCTGGCAAGCTACCCGTGATGTATTCGATATGCCAAACACAGCAACAACAAGTTTCGCAATGGAGACGTTAGTGGGCCCGCTCAAGCAAATCGATGAATAACGGGAGGACAGTGCTACAGTGCTATAGTGCAGACCTAATTGAGCATTCCCATGAGAGCTGTTAAACTTACTAATACTTTTTTAATGAAGGGAAACAAAGTAAAATGAGATGAACTACCATGTATTTCTTTTTGCTTCTTTAAAAGTGACAAGGGTACTTTTCCCATCTAGAAGAAACAAACCATGATTTATTTAGATTTAAATGAGCCCGGCAAGCTACCGAGAGTATTCGATATGTCAGACACAGTAACAACAAAGTCTCCAATGGAGACGTTACTGGGCCCGCTCGAGCAAATCGATGATCAACGGGAGGGCCTTTACTTTACTTTACTTACTTACCTCACCAGTGCTTAATTTAAAGCCCCTCAGAACTTATAGGGGGCGGGGGAATGACAAAGTGACAAAGAACTGAGAGAAACACTTTTTTTTTCTTTTTTGGTCACACTTGGCAATGCACAGGTGTTACTCCTGGTTCTGCACTCAGGAATTACTCCTGGCTGTGGTCAGGGGACCATATGGGATGCTAGAAACCCAGGATGGCCTTGTGCAAGGCAACTCCCTGCCCGCTGTGCTATTGCTCCAGCCCCAAGAGAAACACTCTTATGTCAGCATAACAAAGGACCTGCCTTTTCTTTCTTTTCCCTCCTTTTGAACTCTCCTGTATGTCACTTTCATTCATAACATTAGCTGTTTAAAACAGTTTTGACCTCAACATTCCATCATCACCTGATTCTGATATCTTTGACAAAAAAAATTAATAATTTACGTAAGTTTGAGATATGACTGCCTTTAAATTCTGTATTTGGCTATGAATTCCTGAAACATATAAAGACATAATTCATATATTACAAAAACAGTTTGAAATCGATATGTAATTTTGCTAAAATAGTATGTGTCCTCTTTTACGGGCCTCCAACTAATATTCATTGATTGCTGCAAGCTAATAGAAGAGGGAATTATATACAAAATATGTGTCTACTTCAGAGCTTAAAATGAGTGCTCAAGGAGAAAATACAAAAAAAAAAAATAGATATTACCATTGTTTCCACCTTGAGTTGACTCATCCATAAGCATCCTTTCATCAAGTTTTCTTTTTGTTGCTTTTATTTAATTGAAGTCTGCATAAACTTTAGAAAATATTTAAGCATCTATGAATAACAAATAACATAATAGCAAATGATCAGATGTGCACTGATTAAAAATATCACAGAGTTGACAAAGCAGAATTGAGGGATGCAGTCAATTTAAGAGTAAGTAAGCCTGTGTCCAGCTGTTTTAATATTTTAGTTTAGTGAACTGGAAAGTAGCACAGCTTAGCAAAATTGATCAACCACATTTTGTATTGAGAACATAATTTTATGGAGAATATTTAAGATCTCTCCATATGTTCCAAGCATAGATACTATTAAAGAAAAAAAAAAACTCTTCACTTTTCTGTGGAGTTGTTGCTAATTTTGGTTCTGGATTAACCATGTAAATTAATTTAATAATACCTCTCAGAGAGTTGTCACTAAGTAATTAATTTTAGTTCCCTAGAACTTGGGCTTTTATATTTAAACTCCAAGAATTTAATTCTCTCATATATTGAATTATAACCTATTAAAAATATTAGTTACAAATAATTTCATGTTTTATCAATTGCTCAGGGTTATAAATATAACCTAGTAATAAACATCAAATCTTTCTGTTATATGGAAGGTGGTAATTCTTGACACTACACTGTCTAGAAATAGATTTTAAAGAGATTTTTGGTTAATTTAAAATACATTTTTGTTCACATTCCCAACAATCAGGTAGTCAGCTGTCATTTTTCATTTGTACTAGTATAATTTTATCTGTAATACAACTTTATTCTATTTTTCCTGTCTTCCTTAATTTTGTTTCCAATCGAGATTCTTTAGGAAGTAATCATTTTTACAAAAAATAGGATAAATTTCATTTTTAACTAATAGCAAAAACACCATCTTAAAAAGCATGCTGGGCAGTTTGCTATTATTCCTTTTATTCTAATGTCTTTTTTTAATTTTTTATTAGTGAATTACCTTGAGGTACAGTTTACAAACTTATGAAGTATTTCAGTCATACAATAATCGTCTTTTATTCTAATTTCTAATATAACAAAATAACAAAGTAGAAACAAACTACAGGTATTATCCTGAAGAAGGCAACTTTTTTTTTTCACTTAGTGTTAGTTATATCCAACTTGCAGCTCTAGAGTAATTTTGTCTTTATTCTTTTTTGTTTGTCTTGTTTTTGTTTGGGGGTCACATGAATCCCCAGGCTTGCTCCAGGCTCTGAACACAGGGATTGCTCCTGGCAAGACCCAGGGGACATGAGTGCTGGGATTGAACCCTATCAGTTGCATTCATGCTTTTTCTCTACTGTACAGTCTATTCTGCACCATTGTCTTCATTCTTGTTTTTGGTTTTTTTTTTGGTTTTTTTTTTTTTAGTAGCAGTCTGAGAGTTGACTAGTTTGATAACAGAACTTCACGGTAACTAGAAATTAAAACCAATTAGTTGATAATTCTAAAGTTTTCCAAATATAAAACAATAAGACTAAACAAGAGCTTGTTTTTATTTTGTGTTCATTTAAGAATAGAATAATTCAGCTCCATGAGATTCATAAAAATTAATGGCAATGAGGCAGTAACCATTTTCTGCAGCCTAATTGGTAAATTAATTGAAAAAAAATCCATCAAGAATAGAAAACTTGCAAATGAAGAAAAAAATAACAAGTGTAAATAGTGCCTCATTGTTGCGATTTTTAATCAATTCTTCCCCTTAGCCTCAATTAGAATTTATATTTACAGAATTCCCAGTAATGCTTGTGTCATTATCTCAGGTTACAAATTTGAAAGTGTTCCCAACATTCATAATTTTATAAATTTGACTTCACTTAAAATATAAATTTAGTTATATGTGAAACCTGGGTTTTATTAGCTTTGGGTTTTACATAGTAGAACGGTGATTCTAAAATTGCATTTAGCGTCCACTTGCCCTATGGAACTTGTTTCATACACGGATTCATAGAATTTCCCCTCCTTCCCTTGCCAAATTTTAGTTTGTTAAAACAAGTAGGGCTCAGAGATCCATTTTTAAGCAAGTGCCCATGATATTCTGTTTTAATTTGAATTCAAATCTTCACCTAAGAATTGTAAGCTGTCACTAAGTAGAAAGTGGGTGTGATAATCAACTGATCGTATTTTCTGTTTAGTTAGACAACCTTTTCTCTGTCAAATCCATATTCACTTTATAAAGCAACCAGACTATAGCTCCAAATGTTTTATGAAAATTGAAATATTTAAGATCGTATTTAAAATGATAAAGCAAGTAATTAGAAGTAGATTACCAGATTTCTTAGTTGCAAGTTCTATGAAAAATTTATTCATTATTTTGTTACTTACTTTTTCTCTCTGAATGAATGAATCATTTGCCTATAATACAAACCACAAATGTCCTTTCTTTCCCTTCATGTGTGTTTAAAACCTTTCTTTACTTAACTTTAGAGCAGCCATCAAAACCTGAAATTGTCAGCAAAGCACCTTTTCTTGAAACAGAGCAGCTTAAAAAGGTAAGAACTTGTTCTAATTTAATTGGTGCATTTGCTTAGCTTAATATTACATATATTTCTCTTAGCATCCTAGATACTAGGACAAATGAAACAGAATGTTCTGTGGAATTGACAAAGTGTAGGCAGTCTGAAATTTGCAGGGTACATGAATACATGATGTGATCATTTCTGAAGGGAGGAGAAACAAATGACAATAAAAGAAAGGCATTTCCTTTTCACTTCTTTATTTTTAATGGACGGCATAGATTTTAGTAGATTGAACAGATTTTTCTCCAGAACAAGAGTAGGAAAGACTACCCATAGAAAGAAAATTGTAAGAAAAGAAAATGACTTGAAAACTATTATTTTTTTTTTCTTTTTGCATTGAGGGGACTGTGTGTGCTCAGAAAGTAGGGAGGAGAGTACACAGAGAGAAATATCTGGAGGTGTAACAGTGTTTTGATTAGAATAAACTGTATCTGTCAGGCAGAGAGTTTGCACATTAATCTATTGATTGATTGAAAAGTTGAAGTAAAGCTATGAGAAGATTAAATTTAAATGATCACATTAGCAGTGGCTTGAAGGCAACCTTTATGAAACACTCCAAACTGGGGCTGCATGTTTGGTTATATCAATTAATTTATAGTCTCATATGGCCAAAAGCCCGGCAAGCTACCGAGAGTATCCTACCCGCACGGCGAAGCCTGGCAAGCTCCCTGTGGCATATTCAAGATGCCAAAAACAGTAACAAGTCTCACAATGGAGACGTTACTGGTACCTGCTCGAACAAATTGATGAGCAATGCGAGGACAGTGCTACAGTGATACTTAGAGTGGGAGGTAGGAAGTTTAGAAAACTCTGAAGCAGTTGAAAGCCTACTTCATAGGGCCAGAAAGTGCAATGTGCAAGGCTTTGCATCAGGCCAACCTGGCTTCCCTCCCTGGCACCTCATACAGACCCTCTGTTTAAGAGTGATCCCTAAACATAGTGGCAGGAAAAATCTCTGAGCACAGACAGGTGTTACCCACAATCAGTAATAACAACAACAACAGCAACAACATTGTAGTTCATAACACTTGTTACTTTCTATAAAGTTACAATATATTTGAAGAAAAGTGGGGGGGGAGTTATAGACTCCTTTGAGTATAAGTAGTCTGAAATTGAGAAGGTGGCCCTGCTTAAATGGTGTACATTCTGTTTTAATGTTGTTAATACTGTCTAATTCTTAATTGCACAGAACTGTGAACTGTGATAATAGTGTTAATATGCTCGTATTATTTAGTTTGTTAGAATAATGTTGAAATATATTTGTCATCACTTTTAAATAAATGTGATTATATTAAAAAGTGGCAGTAACTACCAAACATTTTAGTCATTACTTATTTATTCTTTCTGTTGTCTTAGGTATAATACAATTAATGATGGTTTTCATGCACTTGATTTCAAAACCACACCCATAACCATTATAAATAATCACCTCCCTCCACCAAGGACCCCTTTTAAATCCCACCACCAACAGCAATTCTTCTGTTGTGTTGCCTTTTGCTCTATATTGCTGTTTTTTTTTTTCTTTTTGGATCACACCCAGAGATGCACAGGGGTTACTCCTGGCTCTACACTCAGGAATCACTCCTGGCAGTGCTCAGGGGACCATATGGGATACTGGGAATCAAACCTGGGTCGGCCGCGTGCAAAGCAAATGCCCTACCAATTGTGCTACATCTCCAGCCCTTATATTGCTGTTTTTAAGTTTCACACATCAGAGAAATTGTCCTGTGCCCCTTTCTTTCTGACTGAACTCAGAAAGATAACATCAAGTTTTGTTCATGTTGTGACAAATTGAATGACTTTTCCATCTTACACACACACACACACATATCTGTATAAATATAGATATGATATAGGTATAGATATATCTATATAAATATAGATATGTGTGTGTGGTGTGTATCTCAAAGTATCTGATTCATTCATTTATAATTGGGTATTTGGGTTGTTTCTATATATTGTACTAATTACTGTGACAAGCATTGGTGTTAATATATCCTTTAAAATTAATGTTTTTGTATTCTTATTTTAGGGAGAGTTCTCCATATTACTTTCCATAAATGCTAAACTAGAGGGCATTCCCAGCAATGGTGAATGAGGATTCCTTTCTCACCAACACTGGCTGTTTCCAAGCATTTTGATGTGTCACATTCATTGGCATGAGATGCTACCTCAGTGTTGTTTTGATTTTTATTAACCTTAATTAGGAGTGACAATGAGCATTTTTTCATATGCCTGTTAGGTGCTCATATGTCTTTTCTGGGAAAGTTCTCATCTTCTCCCCCATTTGTTGATGGGGCTCTTGAATGTTTTGTTGTTGAGTTTTATGAGTGCTTTGTAGGTCTTGAATACTAGCTGATGTGTTATGACTGTTGTGCGTTTTAAAATAGATAGGGCCATAATTTTAAATAGCTCTCTGAGGACTGGGCACACCTGGCAATGTGTATGCAAAGCATTTTCTTCCAGTCCTTCTAGCCCTCTCCCAAGATAAGGACATTTAACACATACACACACATATAAAATTAAAATATTTATTCAGTCCTTAGACAAGGTTTAGAAAAATGAAAGGATCAAAAAACACCTGGAGTAATATTACCCCGTCCACAAACCAACACCCAAAAATGGCTGTAACTGAAGTTAACAGCTACTGATGAAACCAAGGTGCTAGCCTTTCCTTTTTATTTTGCAGTTGGGCGACTGTGTTTCTGAAGACAGTTATCCAGATGCTAATATCACATGGTACAGAAATGGAAAAGTGTTGCAACCTCTTGATAGAGGTAGGTAATGAATGGGCAATAAATTTGGACAACTTGTTTTGAGTTTCTCTTGTCCAAGAATTTCTTATACCATCTGGTATCGAAAATATGTTCACTTTTATTATCTGTCTCACTCTGTGTTGCCCTCTTTTTATCTATGATTTGTCTTTGTTACCTTAAAAGGTAAGGTAAAGGCCCTCCCGTTGATCGTCAATTTGCTCGAGCGGGCCTAGTAACATCTCCATTGGAGACTTTGTTGTTACTGTGTTTGGCATATCGAATACTCTCGGTAGCTTGCCGGGCTCTCTGAGAGGGTCGGAGGAATCGAACTCGGGTTGGCCAAGTTGGCTTTCATATAGGTTCCCATAGCACAGAGGGTAGGGCGTTCACCTGACAAGCGGCCAACATGGCTGACCCGAGTTCAATTCCTCCACCCCTCTCGGAGAGCCCGGCAAGCTACCGAGAGTATTCGATATGCCAAACACAGTAACAACAAAGTCTCCAATGGAGACGTTACTGGGCCCGCTCAAGCAAATCGACGATCAACGGGAGGGCCTTTGTTACCTTAAGTATCCATTTAGTCACTAAGTAATTTTTAAAACCACCATGTAATCCCATATACAGAAGAATCAGAAACTGAGAAAATTATGTTTGCATATGGAGTTTTCTAGAAGTTAATTAATTAAAACAGTGACAAACTTCTAGGATTCTTTTTTTATTTTATTAGTGAAACACCATGAGGTACCATTGTAGACTTACAAACTTTTGTTCTTGGGTTTCAGTTATACAATGATCAAGTACCCATCCCTCCACCGGTGCCCATTCTCCACCACCAATGAACCCAGTAGAACTCCAAGCCCCCCCACCCCACCCCACCTCTGTCGCAGGACATTCCCTTTTGCTTTCTCTTTCCTTTAGGGTATTGTGATTTGCAATAGAGATATTGAGTGGCCATCGTTTTTGGTCTGTAGTCTACTTTCAGCATGCATCTTGCATTCTGTGTGAGTCTTCCAAACACCTTTTACTTGGTGTTCCCTTCTCTATCTGAGTTGTGTTTTCCCCCAGCATGTGCTGCCAGCTTCTCGACTATTCATTCCACTGTCTCTTTCATTTCTTCCTTTAATTTTCTGGATGTCTGCTCCATTGATTCTTTGAGTTCCTTGAACATCCTTAGCATTTCATCTCGGAATTCATTATCGGAGAGATTGTATTTGTGGGTAACCCCTGTTGAGGATCGGGACTCTTCATCCTCTCCTCGTAGTGGAGATTGTGCTGTTTCCTCATGCTGTTGTGGTTGTATAGAGGTACAACCTTCAAGTTCACTAGCATTGTTCCCTTTTGTTGCGGGAAAGGATTCTGAATAAGGTTGGTCGATGGTGGTCACCCTTTTCCCCTTCTAGAATATGTCCTTCCTCTCAGACATTACTCTGTGGCTTATGATAGGCATCTAGTGAAGCGTTGGAGGAGGTGCTCTTTTATATTGCTTGTACAGCTTCTTACGTACACTGGTCTTTTTTTGAAATTGGAGTAGGCCGGTAGATTATTGTCATATTGTGTTTGAGGCGGCCAAGACTTTTTCTACAGAATTAGATGATAAAGGTTGGGATGTGAGTGAGAGTGCTGGAAGTGTGAAATACACAGAAAGCCACGCCCACTTTTGAGGAGGCACGCCCCCTACAGTGGGGGCCACACCTCCAGCTGGTCTGGATGCTAATCCACAGACCTGGACCCAAAGGCCTCTCAGAGGATGGTGGGGAGGGGGCTGAGTGGGCTCATGGCAGGAGTCCAGTGGGTGCCCTCAGGGAGCTGTCCTGGTGGCAGGCGGACAGTAGAGCGGGGTAGGATGGGTGCACAGATGACCCACCTGTGCAGAGGAAAGGCGGGGCTCAACTTCTAGGATTCTGTTTCTGTCTTTGATTTTTGGTTTTAAAAAGTTATCCTTCTTCACTACATGTCAATTTTCTCATTTAAATATAGCAAGAAGGACAAAACCTCTTCTCAAAGATATTATGACTTTCAATTAGGGATTGTGATTTTCTAATTAAAGATCATATCATTAATATTCTTAATTTTTCTCAACAGTAGTCATAATTTTTACGAAGCAAATGGACCCAGTAACTCAGCTGTATACCATGACTTCTTCGCTGGAGTATAAAGCAACCAAGGCTGACATACATATGCCATTTACATGCTCTGTGACATATTATGGACCATCTGGCCAGAACACAATTTATTCTGAACAATCGGTCTTTGATATTTATTGTAAGTAACTAAATATATAATTATGCACATGTAATATATTAGAGCAAATGTTTATGTGCTGTATTGTAAACTTTTACATCTTAGCCTAAATATCCTGCAGATTCTACTAGTCTACCTTTAGTCCTTGGCTTCCAGGTAATTTCTTCTTTGGGAGACATAGAATAAATACTTATAAATTTCCTGCTATATTTCACTATTTTGTTACTGGGAACACCTCTTCTGTATTCTGCTAAACACTAAGTTCTTGAAAGACACAATCTCAAGAGTCTCATCCACTCTTGGTATGACATATAGCCATAAATTTAGTAAGAGTTCAAAATGGCATCTGATGACTTTCTGAATGATTGACACTCAAGAGAGTTAAAGTAGAGAAGTTGAAAATGAAGTATGAACTTGAAGAGAAAACTGAAGTGCTTGTTTCCAGTGTTTCTGAAGAAAAATGCATACAGTGTTGCCTATGATGTAACCACCCCTAATAATGCGTTTACCAACCAGACTGATGGAGAGTAAGGTTATAAATTATTGTTTTCAAAAGAGAATATACCAAGAGTCAGTCTCTCACTTCAAAAAAATGTCCCCATGTATATTCAGTTAATTAAGACAAAGAAATGTGCAGATACTTAAAGAAATTTCTTAAGTGAAAGAAATCAAAACGCTTCTAATTCTCACAAGTTATCTGCTAAATCAAGGATTTTTACAAGTGAAAAAAGGGAAATTAACTCCAAGAGAATGAGAAGAGGAAACTTTTCATATTCCTTACCAGTTCTGTGTGCCTTTGAAGTCACCTCTGGAGTCTCTGAGCCCTCAGTCTCAAAATCTTGCCTCGAATGAGAAAAAAGTAATCCTTGCCCAAAAGGCTGCTGTGATGTTTGGTTGAAATTGTCCTTTTCGGAATCGCCTTATAGTTCCTTGGGTTTGTTTTTTTTTTTCCTACTCATAATGGTGACTATGATCCCATAAACATTTTCATTTTTATTTTTATTTGATGTCATAATTTGGTTGTGATTCTAATTGGGAAAATTCCTAAAGTAATGCCTCATCATGGAACTTCTATAAATCATAGGAAATAATATATTAGCTGAAAGAAACTCTAACTACTTGTTGCATGTGGATTTTCCACATGATACTAACATTTATCATCAGGGTTTATATATTTGAAAAGAGAATAATAAATCATTGACTGCTATGTTTTCCTCTATGCTTTTGAGTAAAGTAAGTAATGATCTATTAAATCTGTTGAAAAATAGAAAGCATTTTTGAACAATACATATTATAACGTAACTGAATTTTGACTGTCTTTCAAAATATGTTTGTATCCATACATGAGGCTTAAATTTGAAGTATATGAAGAAAGTAATTTTGAAATTTTAAACAGTAACTTTAAAAAATAACCAATTGGGTTTCAAGATAAGTTACTTCCATTTTAATGAAGAGATGCATTTTAGTAATGAGATCAATTATGTAAGTTACTTAGGATGGTGTATTTAAAGATATTTTGGTTAAGCTCCATTTCTTAGCTCTAAATATATACTATTAGACTTTGTTGACCATCTGCTCTAACCCCATTAATTCACTTAGCAATAAAATGAGGCCCTGGGACTTGCTCTAAATTAGCTGCAGAGACTGGGTTAAACTACTTTGCTTTCTCCAATGTTATGCTCTTTCTCATAAGACAGGTGCCAAACTAATTTAATGATTAAGAGCAAGCATGCTGACAACTGAGTCCCAACGCTGTCAATTACTGTGACCTGAAAATAGTAACTTAACTTCTGTAGGTCTCATTATTTTGAAATGGGAAAAAATGTTTACTTTATAGTATTGTTAAGTGAAATTAGGTGAAATATCAAATTAAAAATAACATACTGTATCATGCACTAGGGCTGGATCGATAGCACAGCGGGTAGGGCGTTTGCCTTGCACGCAGCCAAAATATTCGACGCAAGTTCGATTCCTCCGCCCCTCTCAGAGAGCCAGGCAAGCTACTGAGAGTTTCTCGCCCTCACGGCAGAGCCTGGCAAGCTACCCGTGATGTATTCGATATGCCAAACACAGTAACAACAAATCTCATGATAGAGACATTACTGGGCCCACTCGAGCAAATCGATGAACAACGGGAGGACCGTGACCGTGACCCATCATGCACTAAATGCTTATCATTCAAAACTATAGCAGTATCACTTAATGATCATTGTTATTATAAAAGCACCGAGTTAGAGATACCTTCTTTGGGAAAAACACAAGAAAGAATTTTATATTATTTCTAATGAATTCTACTATTCTACTAGTCTAATGAATAATAATTATTGCAATATCGCCTATATTATAGAATATTCCTGTACTTATATATCTATTCTAGTTAAAAAAATAAATGTAGTCCTGAGATGTCAAGAGTTTTATCTCCTATATTTCTATTTTGATTCTATGAAGTCCAAAAATTTAAAATGTCTTTTTGCTCTAGCAATAAGCTATTATAACACCTTGAACTTTACAATTAAGTTTCAACTTGATTTCAAGATAAAGATCTAGAAAATTTTACTGATTTAGCTTGTTAAAATATCCAGTTTATTTTTTTCTTTGTGTAAGTGAAGGCAGAATTCCGTCCCCAAATTTTCAATTGGAAATAAATTATCTTGAGTTCAATACAGGAGTACAATATAGGAAAGAAAATCAAATTGAATATTAAGGATTTATAAATTAGCTTGAGAAAGAACAGTAATGAATGAGTACCCTGAAGAATTGTTGGGCTGAAAAGTCTTTGGATGCATAAGAAGAAAATGATTTTTCTGAAACTGATTATGTGGGACATAGTTCGCAAGTCTTCTCAACATAATTCAGTAAGCAATACTGAACTTTTGTGAAGACACAAAGATGTTTAAAGACGTAATCCTGCTGTTCATAGAGACAGAATACATCTAAGGCAGAAGGAAACTATAAATGTGGGTTGTGAGTGGTAACTAGCAAAGGGTGCTCAAGGAAGAGACTCTCAAAGTCTGGTGCGCATTAGAATTACCAAAGGACTTGTTAGAATACAGATTTCTGTTCCTTGCTCTGAAGATTCTCATCTCAAAAGTGTGAGGGGGATTCCAATCCTGTGCATTGACAGCAAATTCTCTGGTATTTATCTGGGAGCTACTTTTGGAGAACAACTATGTAGAATGACTTCAAGGCAAAGAAAGAGGGAGCTAAAAAGTAATGAAAAGGATATGAGTGCATTAAAAAAATATAAATTCAATAAAATTGTCTTGAGAAAGATACACTCTTCCACCCCCTCCTTGCCCTTTTTAGTAGGTAATGTCATTTTATAGAATCTGCTTTTTTCCCTTCTGTTCATATTCAATTTCTACTTGCTGATACACCATAGGGTTATGCCACCTTTCTTCATTGCCTGAATTTCAAAAATTTTCAAAATAGTATTCCTATCTTTCACCCCAAACTGTCCCCTTGAGCAACTGCTAGAAATACCCTTTTTAATGTAAATATGATCATGTTTTGCTTAAGTTTTTCAATGTTTTTCCAGTCTTTTAGATTAACCTTTCTACCCCCAGTTTCAGTGTGCCTTAATTTCCTTACAGCTGTGGTCTTGTGCCATTTCTCAACCATCATCACTTCACTGTACCTTCTGTGTGTCATCTATTGTTTCCCAGATTCCTTCCTAGAGAATACTACTTACATTCCTGTTCTCATTCTGTCATTACTTAACCCTTCCATATTCCTTAAACAACAATTTTTTAAGGGATAAATTCTTACTGAATGCTTTCAAGTTTCCTCTCTATAAGCTATTGGTGATTACTGGATTTACACCATTTAGAGTTTACATTGCTGTAGTCTCAGTTGTCAAGTTTTGTGTTATAATAAATGGACTGAATATTTATTGAAGTCAGAATATTCTGTATTCATGTTCGCTAAAAGAGATGAGAGGAAGAAAATTTTAGGGGATTATTGGATTATTATGTTGGAATGTATAGGCAGTCCTGAAAGTTTAAATTTAAACTAGGTTAGAGCCTTTTGTGGATGCCAAGGGAAGAAACTTACATCTCTGTATTTGCATATTCAGAATGCATGCAAGATTTTTAGTGTCATTGTCATATGCAAAGCATTTCTTCAGAAATCTGAGCATAAATATAACATATCAAGTGTAGAAAAGAAACTCAAAGAAGAAATACAAAGAGATTCAATATGAAGGGATGAATGAATGCGAGACAATATACCAGGGGTAGATTACTTAGACTCTAAACTAGGAAAGCATTGGTGGGAGAGAAGGGGGGATTAGATGCAAAAGTTACTAAATATTAATCTTTCACACTTAGTGATTAAGCAGGAGAACAAGGGCAAAGAGAAAGCAGAGTGGTAGGCAGAACCATGATTGATTTATTAATAGAGTAAAATTCACAGTAAGGGGCAAAGAGATCAAGAGATAATTTATTTTATTGAGTCATGGTAGTGAACATCCAGATTGCTGTTAAAATTTCAAACAAGTCATGTTAACTCTCAGCTTTCAGTTTAGTCTCTCAGCTCTTCACCAGAGCAATGTCCATTGAAAGGAGGATACGGAGAAGGAGAATTTTAAAATAGAGAAGGAAATAATTTAGATTGTGACCCTAAATGTTATGGTGTCAGTTTTGATCAGAGATATGGCAAAGTGATGAACAACACACTGAAACTAGCTAGAGATGGGTCATGTGAAAGAGTGAGTGGGGTCTTGAAATGGGAGGTCAGTGGGGGGCTGAAAACCCACTTTGTTTACTTTTCAACTGCTGTCCAATAAAGGATCACAGGCTGATTCAGGAAAGCAAACAATTGTATTAAACCAGTAACCGCTTAGCTTCAGAACAATTTGGGCCAATATTCAGAGATGCGGAAATATGAAGAAATGGCAAAGAAGTAATCAAACAGTCCTTAAGTTTCATTCTTCCTGTATTTTAATCTTAGAGGGCAAATGAATGATTGTAAGTGATAGATTAAAAATATAGATATCCAAATCTGTGTCTTGTTTATCTGGCTTTCTTAGTTAATAATAAATTAAATTCTCGAGAAAACTAATTTGGAATATAGATATAGAAAACAGCATTACTAAGCCTCATGGAAAAGTATATTTCTCTTAAACCTTTGCATTATATGATTGTGAAATGTATTGTTTATTTTGTTTTGCAGCTGAATAATAGGAGACATATTAAAAAATTGGACATACATAACTGCTTACAGTACTTTTTAAAAATTTCAGATATGGTCTACACTAGCCAACCTTTTCTTTCTTTTACATTCTTCTGTTGAGTAGAAGGCTCAATAAAGAATTAGCTCTACATTCTCTGTAAAAATGGTCTAAAAGTTGCATCTTAGCTCCTAAGAACAAATTTACGATCTTTTCACAGTCCCATTGATTGTGTTAAGGATTTCCCTCTGTTTATGGGATTCATCCTTTTGAAAGCAGGTCTACCCTCCTGCTGCCAAAAATCTTACTGCTGTTTAGCTCCTGTCTCTTTGTAAATAACATGAGTTATTATTAAGTAATATGAATGCATGGGGTGCCTAATAGCTTTAGCTGCTTTGCAAACTGGTCCAATTTTTTCAAACTGCAAGATTCATATAATATAGTTCTACTTCCTTATAATGAAATCATATGGTGAGATTGTTCCTACTGGTGTCTTTTGCACATAAAATAACTATAGTCATTCTTCCCTCTGTTAAAGATGTTTTGTTAAGAATAAATTGATTTTTATGTAACAGAGTCTCTTTGTAGTTTGCTCTAACCAAGATTAGTACTTGGTATAGCAAGTAGCTATTAACTTCAATCCTTCTATAAAAAGATACATTTAAGTAATTACCATTACTAGCTACTTAAGAAAATTGTGTATAATTTTGTAATTTGCTTTGTATGTACAGAGTAATTTAAAACTTGACAAAAATGTTTAACTTGTGTCTTTGATTCTCCCAGATCCTACAGAACAAGTGACAATGCAAGTGTTGCCACCAAAAAATGCCATCAAAGAAGGGGACAACATCACCCTTACTTGTTTGGGAAATGGTAACCCTCCTCCTGAGGAGTTTTTGTTTTACTTGCCAGTAAGTACTTCAGTATTATTAGTTGAACTAGATACTCTCAATTTAGCCCTATTTTTCAGCAGCAGCTGGCATCAAGAATTGTTTGTACTTGGGTAGCTTCAATGAGAAGGGATTCTCTTCTTGAAGACAAGGGATAGCTAGAAAGAGACGTTTGAGATTTTTTTTTTCAATATGACATAGCTCTTACCTTTTCCATAATATTAAGAAGTTTTAGGAACAATAAAGAAAGAAATGTGAACGCAAGGTACTATAGTTAGAGAAATTTGAGTCTTCCGCATTCAAATAAACTTATGAAAATTTGTTCTTAAGAAGCAAATCACTCTCAAATTGTCAAATGAAATCTGATCTCAGCAAATGGCCTGATACAGAGTTGAAATAGACCCAAGTTCCTTTCCTGAAAATACCCATGAGTCTCTGCAGTAGAAATAGTTCATTTGCACATTGTATTTAGCTTTATGGTAAAAAACTGAGCTATAATCTGTTACCATATGTAATCAAAAAGAGCCAGTTCCACAACTTTCACCAATAACATAATTAGAATAAGAGCAATATCCAGAGCATAACTTAGAAACTTTCTCTGGGTTGTTTTCTATATTTCACTGTGCTATAAAGTCAGAGTAGGAGCCATCTTTGTCTGAAGACTTGTTTGCTCTCCGTAGTCTTTCTGGGTTTGTGGATCACAGTATTATTTGAGAAAAATGATTTGCCTATGCCATACTTACTTCTAGGGACATATTTAATTTTCCTCTATTACATTACTCATTTGTCTTTTCAAATAACACTACCTACCACATCACTAAGAAGACTAATGCATAATAATTTAATTAATATATTGATGGGAAAACAGTTTCTTCTAATAAGTTGGTGTACTGTTTTTGTCTTGTACAAATGAAATTTGGAACTAATTAGGTTTGTGCCATCATTATTAGAGGGAAAATTCAAATGTGTGTGAGTTTTTAGCTATGGTATGTGGTAATTATATTTTTTGTCAATATATACTTCTAATTTATCTATTTATATCCTTGATAAGCTATTACCATTTTATTATATTTTCCTTTTATATGTAAAGAAAATATGTTAATATATTTCTGAATAATTACATGTTCATGGGGCTGGAGCAAGAGCACATCGGTAGGGCGTTTGCACGCAGCCAACATGGCTGACCCGAGTTTGATTCCTCCGCCCCTCTCAGAGAGCCCGGCAAGCTACCGAGAGTATCTCGCCCACACAACAAAGCCTGGCAAGCTACCTGTGATGTATTCGATATGCAAAACACTGTAACAACAAAGTCTCCAATGGAGATGTTACTGGGCCCGCTCGAGCAAATCGATGAACAACAGGAGAACCGTGACCGTATATGTTCATGGAGTTAAGGAAATATTAACATATTTTCTTTGTCTTTCTCTTGTTACCTCCTTCCTTCCCTATCTTCTTTCTTTTATTTTATTTTACTTCTCTTCTTTTTATTCGGATACATGGTCTGTTTTATTTTAAATTGCTGCAAATATTTTCTCTATTTTGGAAACATAAAAATACAAAAATAAAATTGGAATTTTAAAAAATCTGCTTTACACTCAAGCACAAACCATACTGTCAATAGAATTGCACCAATTCGGTGTGAATTAGCTCCTATGTTTCTTTAGAATCATTTTTTTCTTGAGTCAAATAATACAGATAATGATCTTAACTGCCCAATCTAAGAAGCGCATTCCCTTTTTTCCTTATCTAAGAAAATGCCATTTTATAAAGCAATACAACTGTTCATATAGTTACGACCAAGTGTAATCATCTGACATTTTCCTCTGTCAAAGGGACAGCCTGAAGGAATAAGAAGCTCAAATACTTACACATTGGCAGATGTGAGGCGCAATGCAACAGGAGACTACAAATGCTCTCTGATAGACAAAAAAAACATGATTGCTACAACAGCCATCACTGTTCACTGTAAGTTGTCTTATCCTTCATTACCAGTCTTTAGAGTTCCAGAATGGTCTAACTTGGCTATTCTTTCAAATAAATTGCAACTCTACATTTTTTTAAAATAACATAGTTTCAGTAGATTTATTGAGAAGCATCAGTGCAAGTTGACCCAGATTTCTACTGCAAATTTAAGACTAGCATGAATCTAGTAACGGCAACTTCTGACAGTGATAACCTTCTTTTCTTTTTCATAAAGGTCTTCAAAATGTATTATCAATAAAATATTCAAATAGTTATAAAATAAATCATGTCATATTTTAAGAAAGGATTTAGGGATTCTTGAAGTTCATAAAATTTGCATGTGCACAGAAAAGTTTAATTTAGGAATTTCTTGTTTGAAATAAAAAAAAAATAACATTAACATAAAAACCCCAGCTACACAAAGTTTCTATAAGTTCAACTATGGAAGAGGAGTTAGAAAATACTAAAACTTTTATTAGTTTCTATATAAATGAACAGCAAATTTATAGAAACAGAACCTCTTCAAAGTCATTTTGAACATTATTTTATTATTTTAAACCTACAGATACTCCAAACATTATTTTAAACCTACAGATACTCCAAACATTATATTTATTTCAACGTAATAGAAAACTATAAACATAGAAAACAGACCTTTTCTTTGTGTTTTTTAATTTTTAAATTCTTGACATTCTGTATTATTGATGTACCTGAATGCATTACAGGAGTAAGAAACTAATTTGAACTACTTCCTGTGGGCAGGAAGTACTATGGGCAAATATCAGTATTTCTCAGAGGTATAGACAAAACTTTCTAATAATCCCCTTTGTACCCAACCTTCCTGTCAATAAAATATCTTCTAGATGTTGTTACCTATGGACCCATTGAATATGAGAGAATTCTGTGTTTCTGTATTGGAAGAGATATTAGAAACTGCTCTGAGATATGAGCTTTGTTTTTTTGTTCTATAATTTTCGAAATCTTGCAAGATAGGCATGAAAACTTTGAGGAAGATACAAGGAGGTACACTGGGGACTAGAGGAGATCAGATGGTTGCTTCTGAGGGTTTGATACTGGGAGCACACCCTGGGGAGCCCTATAAAAACAATGGACTGGTAAAAATTGGTCTGAAACTTGCCATTTCGATTTGCTTCATATGCATGTTGTACAGAGCTGAGTTAGTGGGCCATCTGAATTTAGTTAGACAAGTTAGTGGTCTCTCAGGAAAGCATGCTTTATTTCAAGAACTACTTAATTATTGGAACAATTATACAATCTATTCTATAACAAAATTATATAACAAGGTGAGGAAATGTATAAAGTAAAAACAATTGTATCCGGAATAACTCTACTAGCATTATTAATTATTAATGGGATCTTAGGACCAATAACCAATATGTTGGTATTTAGAGATGTTATTGAATATTTATATTTTAAAGATATTCATTACTTTCATCCCTGGAAGAAGAGGAGCCCAAATTTTTGTGCCTCTTTGGGCAGAAAAGCATCAGAAATTTGTTTGCAACTATCTAGTGTACAGATGATTGTGCATCTGTGACAAAACATAAACAAAAGCTTGTAATAATTTAATTGAATTGTGGTTTATTTAATTGGACATAGATGCTTTTTGGTTTTAACTATTGACTAAGATTTGAAAGCTGAATAAATAATTACAAGTATATCACTTTTACTTGAAATTATAAAAAATGAAACTTAAAAAATTACATATTCATTTACTTATACATGACTATCTGTTTGTTTTCCAAAGAAAGATTCGTTCCCTTTCCATGGATGACTATAGGGATGAAAAACACCTACCCATACTTATATGTTTGCAAAATATTTCATCCCTGAGAATCATAGTTGCTCTGTTAGAACTCCTATTCCTCTGCCAACTTGTATGCACGGAGATGATTCATCAGAGCTTTTGATGTCATCGTCCTTTAAAATCATTACTTTCATCTTTATGTAGAGTCAACCATCCAGCCAATAAAAGTTTCTAACTCACACTGTGTATACTTTTATCTAAGAAAAATTTAACCTAATATTCTGAGAAATTCTACTGTTCTAGGAAATGGTGCCTATATCAATATTAATGAGAAACAGAGTGTGTTCTTTCCTTACTCACTTAATAACAGGTGTTAAGGACCTACAATTTGTTAGACACTGAGAAATACACAGTGACAAAGCAAGTCACAATACATACACTCATGGCTTACAAAATAAAGCAAGAAACAAGAATTTAAAATGATTTAATCAGTGCCAGAGCGGTAGTACAGACTTTAAGGTGTTTGCCTTGCATGAAACCAAATCTGGGTAGATTTACAGCATGAGCACAGAGCCAAGTGTAAGTGCTGATCACTGCTAGAGGTGGCACACTTCTTCCACCTTTCACCCCCAACCCTCCCAACAGAGAGAGAGGGAAGGAGGGAGGGAGGGAGAGAGAAAGAGAGAGAGATGTAACAGAAAGTTAAACAATAATTTTGAAATGAAGAGATGTCCAGGGGATTGGGGGGACTGGAGTGATAACACATGGGGTAGGGCGTTTGCCTTTCACACGGCCAACCCAGGTTCTATTGCCAGCATCCCATATGGTCCCCTAAGCACCACCAGGAGTAATTCCTGAGTGCAGAGCCAGGAATAAGCCCTGTGCATCACCAGGTATGACCCCAAAAAGAAAAAAGCGAGAGTGATGTGCAGGGTGCAATAGCAATGGCAAACTGTCATAGAATGATGTTCCAGCTCTCACTGTGGCAAACATGTTGCATTATAACCCAGTACAGTGAACTCTATAGATTTACTTTCATGTGTAATCAGTCATAACATGTTACTCACTACTATGAAATAGCAAGCTTGTTCGCCTCTTTGCCTTTGTGTATGTGACAACAGAACTTGGAGCTTTTTGTTTGATTTTTGCAATCAACAGGGGCCATAGTTTAGCTCTGTTGTCTAAACCCTTTGATCTTTCCATAAAGTTTTTTTCAAACTCTTTTTTTTAAACTTTTTTTTTTAAGTGAAACACCATGAGGTACAGTTGTAGACTTACAAACTTTCGTGCTTGGGCTTCAGTTATACAATGATCAAGTACCCATCCCTCTACCAGTGCCCATTCTTCACCACCAATGATCACAGTAGCCTTCCCACCCCCCACCTCATCTCTCCCACCAAACCCCGCCTCTGTGGCAGGGCATTCCCTTTTGCTCACTTTTTTCCTTTAGGGTGTTGTAGTTTGCAATAGAGGTATCTAGTGGCCATCATGTTCCGTCTATAGTCTACTTTCAGCACACATCTTGCATCCCCAGCGAGTCCTCCAAACATCCTTTACTTGGTGTTCTCTTCTCTATCTGAGCTGCCTTTTCCCCCAGCATGTGCTGCCGGCTTCCAAGCCATGGAGCAGACCTCCTGGTATTTATCTCAACTATTCTTAGGTGTAAGACTCCCATTCTGTTACTTTATATTCCCCAGATGAGTGTAGTCTTTCTATGTCTGACCCTCTCTTTCTGGCTCATTTCACTTAGCATGATACTTTCCATGTAGAACCACTTGTATGTAAATTTCATGACTTCATCTTTTCTAACAGCTGCATAGTATTCCATTGTGTAGATGTACCTAAGTTTCTTTAACTAGTCATCTGTTCTCGGGCACTCGGGTTTTTTCAAGATTTTGGCTATTGTGAACAATGCAGCAATGAACATACAAGTGCAGGTGTCATTTAGACTGTACTTTTTTGCCTCTCCGGGATATATTCCCAGGAGTGGTATTGCTGGGTCAAATGGGAGCTCAATATCAAATTTTTTGACAATTGTCCATGCTGTTTTCCAACAGGGCTGAACCAGTCTGCATTCCCAGCAGCAGTGAAGGAGGGTCCCTTTCTCTTCACATCCGCATAACACCAGTTGCTTTTGTTCTTTTGGATGTGGGCCAGTCTCTGTGGTGTGAGATGATATCTCATTGTTATTTTGATCTGCATCTCCCTGATGATCAGTGATGGAGAGCATTTTCTCATGTGCCTTTTTGCTATTCGGATTTCTTTTTTGAGAAAGTTTCTGTTCATTTCGTCACCCCATTTTTTGATGGGGTTGGGTGTTTTCTTCTTGTGGAGTTCTGCCAGTGCTTCGTATATCCTTGATACCAACTCCTTGTCCAATGGGTATTGGGAAAATATCTTTTCCCATTCGGTAATCTGTCTTTGAATTTTGGTCACTGTTTCTTTTGAGGTGCAGAAGCTTCTTAGTTTAAGATTGTCCCATTTGTCTATCTTTGTTTTCATTTGTTTGATCAGTGGTGTGTCATCTTTGAAGATACCATTAGCTTCAGTGTCGTGGAGGGTTTTGCCAACTTTGTCTTCAATGTACCTTATGGATTCTGGTCTGATGTTGAGTTCTTTTATCCATTTTGATCTTACTTTTGTATATGGTGTTAGGTAGAGATCTGAGCCCATTTTTTTTTTGCATGTAGCTGTCCAGTTTTGCCAGCACAATTTGTTAAAGAGGCTTTCCTTGATTCACTTCACATTTTTTCTTTTTTTTTTTATTAGTGAAGCATCAAGAGGTACAGTTTTAGACTTACAAATTTTTGTGCTTGGATTTCAGTTATACAATGATCGAATACCATCCCTCCACCAGTGCCCATTCTCCACCACCACCAGTCCCAGTATCCCTCCCACCCCCATCCCCCCCATCCCACCCTACCACTGTGGCAGGGCATTCCCCTCCGTTATCTCTCTCCTTTTGAGTGCCGTGGTTTGCAAAACAGACATTGAGTGGCAATATTGTTGGGACTATAGTCTACTCTCATCACGCATTTCCATCCTAAGAGGAAACTCCCAACACCCTTTATTTGGTGCTCCCTTCTCTATCTGAGCTGCCTTTTCCCCTAACATGTGCAGTTATCCTCAGGGCCATGGAGTAATCCTCCTGGTATTTATCTTGGCTATTCTTGGCTGTTAGTCTCCTATTTTGTTACTTTATGTTCCCCAGATGAATGCATTTCACTCTCTTTCT